CAGGACTTGCTTCTATGATAAATAAGAGTTTCTTATAGCAAAAACTATCCTAGGGTATGCCTCTGTTCCACATCTTATCTTCACAAAATAATCTGTGAATAAGTCTATCTCAAATGCACCTTGAACTTGTGGAATTAACTTTAATGCAATATTTCAGGGTGGCAGTCCTATTCTTATGCAGCTATAGTACGCTTCCACTCTATGCCCTCATTGCTCAGGTACCACGAAAGCCTTGTATTTCTAACTATTACCTTTGATATTCAAATACTAATCAGTGAAATACTAAGCGCATCTTACTGTTTCCAAGTATAACATGGTTCTATCTGTAGGAAGCTTCTATGATTTAATTTGTGAAAACTAATTATCCAGCACAGTTGAAATACACTGAACATAATATCTTGGAAACTTTTCCAAAATTATTCAGCAAGGGTACCTTCCATAGCTTAACTGTTTTAAATAAATAGAAGGATTAGAGAATCTGGGAATAAATAGTTGATGAGCCGTGATCGGTACTTGATAGTCCAGTCTCTAACAACTGGGGCGTGGGTGGGTGCTCTCTGCTGACCCAAATCCTCAAGTGGCACCATTTCCATTTGGGTGGCACATGACCTGCTTTTCTCTCTTGCACAACTGAAAAATAGCTCTTCCACCATCAACAGTAACCAGAAACCAGAATAATCTAAAATTTCCATCATGCACAAGCTATCAACCGCAACCTACAGGCCCACCTAAACTGCCAAAATGTGTCCCCCCACCACCATCATTTCCGCAGAAACCTGAAATTCCATATTTGTGAAGTAAATGCTCGTCATTTTGAATTTTTAGTTACTTCCTAAATATATTTGTTTAGTCACTTCTAAATTCCAATGTTGGCTTGTTAGTTGGGACATGAGAAAACCCTCCTTTTTAGTCGGGAGAAGAACCAATGTTAAGGCCTTGAGACTATAAAGTTATAGATTCGACTTGGATAAACTTGTATTACGATCGCAAGCTCACATAATATATACGTTTGACTATTTAAATGCGTACTTGGGTCTCCACTGTCGATGATTTTGGCACATTTGATTGTCGGTCCTGCATTAAAGGCTCTTGGTGTAACAAATGTCCCAATAGATAAATATAAATAGTTTTAAGTTACATGATATACCAAATTTAGACCATGGACACTATCTAGAAAAGATAAACCAAGAGTTTTTTACAACATAATACCTTAGGTTACATATCATTCAAGGAAGTATTGTTCGTGACCTTGAGAAGAGTTTGAGTTAGTGACATCAATAATTGACACTTCTTGATAAGGGATACCGTTTCAAATTTACTATACTGTCGAAATGAAAGAAGTAGAGTTGTAAATATATTCTAACGATCTTCTTATAGTAACTTTAGGACTTGTTTACATTATTTATATCAAACATTTCCCTCTTTTGGGTCCGAGGGCTGACATTAATGCTAAAGTATTTTGACTAAAGGGATATGATACATATCATGATTTATATTTGTGTATGGTTAATTGAAGTTATTAGATTTCCAGCTACAGATATTTGTGAAACAACTAATTTGTATCTGTGGGAAACACAGATGGGATCACATATGAAGAAATCTATCTTTGATGAATATACATCTAAGGCGCTTAAGAAGTGGCATATGACTGTGAAGAAGAATAAGGGAGGTCGGGTAGGAAGGTCTCCTACTCGAACCCTGGGTGATGCAAGTCCCACATCTTCAATGGGTTCGCCTTTCCACTCAACTGGCGCTTCACTCCAACGTTTCAAAACTACTGGCCACTCAACACGTCATGTTCATGAATACGATGACCACGAAGTATCTGACTTAGAGGCAGATACATCATCACGTTTGGCACCGACATCTAGCTTAATCCTTAGAGTTGCTCATAATGATGATACAGATAACAATGGAGAAGAAACTAGGAATGAAGATGAGTTCTCATTTGCTAAGACTACTGCCTAAATATGAAGATGAAACAGGTGCTTCCTGCTTTATTCGAAGTGTTCTTCTTTTTCCCCATTCTCTATGTATCAGTTTTTCAGTTTTAATATGTATCCATACACTGAGGGAATGTGGCATTATTGAGAGGGGAGTGATTATGTATAGTTAAATTGTTGTGTTTCACGCATTTGCTGATAGATCGAATTGTTCATCTAGCTTTCTGTAATTATTTCATATTATAAAAAAAGTAATTTTGTTTAGTGTTCAATTAGCATACTAGACACGTATCTAAGGTACTAAAGTACTCACGTAGCAAAATTGTTCTCACGAAAAACTAAAATTTGTTGATTCCCTTAAGAATGTTAAGAAAGAGACAATAATTGGGAGAAACTTATCACAAATTTATTATAATCAAATCAACTAAATCGCTCGTAACTCATATTTAAAGCAATAATTGAAAGGTGATGGAATTTGGCCAAAACGGCATGGGGCGAAGCCTGTGTGTTTTGCTCATTGAGTCGTTTTCACTCGCAATAAACTTAAAATTTTTCGAAATGGACACTCCGAAAATTACTTTTTTCTATCCTGATCCTACTTTTCCATGAAATTTTTCTTTCTAGTAGGGTTGGACAAAACTCCAGAACCGAACCGAAAGGTTCTTCATAAGTTAAATACCTGAACGGGTATCTGAATTGAGAATCGACGAGTTTGGGTCGGTTCTCGGTTCTAGACCAAGAACCGAAGAATCGAATAAGAACCGAATCTAAATAATTTTTAAATTTTTTTATATTGAATTAATTAAAAATTTTTAATTTTTTTTAAACAAATTAGTAAATCTTATTAGTTGAACAATTTTTAATTTATTTGCGTTTGTTATGTGCTTTTTCAATTATGTTTGTAGAGTTTCTTACTATGACAAGTTAAGCAATTGATGAT